CAACGTTCCTCGTGGAAATCCGAGAAGAGGCCCAGAGAGGAAGAGCTGATTACTCCATTGAAAGTTACCCTAGCAAGACTGTACCAAGAAAATAAAGATAAGTTCCGACCTCCTTTACCAATCAGATAACCTCTCGAATAGAGGGATCAGTCTAAACACTGTGCATTTCATTCTGATTTTGGCCACCAGACTAACGAATGCAGGAACCTAAGGAGACAGGTAGAGATGCTGATAGCCAGAGGGGAATTCGAAAGCTATATTCAAGGACCAGCGGTGGAGCAGAACCGACCAATGGAGCATGTGAAGAAGAATCAGAAGTCGAATTCTCACAACACGCAACCAGTTCAAGTAATTAATGCAATTCACGGTCGGCCAGAACCTGCTGAAGAATCAAATGAACTGCTTCGAACACGCCTTCGTCAGGCACGGATGAAGAGAAGGATAGGCAGTGTAAACACTCTGCACCAACAGAGCGCGTCAATGTAGATAAAGTTTGACACAACAGACTTGTTGCGTGTTCAGATCCCTCATCAGGACCCGCTGGTCGTAAGTTTGACAGTGGCCAAATGCTTGGTGCGCAGAGTTCTAATTGACCCTGGAAGTAGTGCGAACATCATGCCAAGAGATACATTCGATCGGCTTGAGATCAAACAGGATCAGCTGAAATCCACCGGGAATCCACTATTAGGGTTTGATGGAAAGCGAGTGGAGCCCGTCGGCACGGTGGAGGTAGCGGTACATGCTGCCGAGAGGGTTTTGATAGAAACCTTTGTAGTTGTTGAAATTCATCCCTCTTACAATCTTCTGATAGGCAGAGGGTGGATCCATAGAGTTCGAGGTGTTCCTTCCACTCTGCATCAGGTAATGAGATGCCTGGCACCGGACGGAACCAAAGTGATTGACATTCATGGAGACCAAGTTGCAGCAAAAGAATGTTACTCTGTAACGATGAAACATGCCGGAAAGGGGAAAGCTCCCATTCATTCAGTAAGTCCGAGATAGCAATTATAGGAGCCTCCCTCCAAGCAGAATGGAGAGGAGGAACCAGTAGGCTTGACTGAAAAACCCCTGCTTGATGTGCAGATCGATCAGTTCTGACCAGAACGGACAACCAGAGTAGGGGAGCAACTCGTTGAGGAGGAAAAGCAGGAATTAGTTGATCTTTTGTCTCAAAACGCAGATATGTTCGCATGGAGTCACCTAGACATGCCAGGGATCGATCCTTCGGTATCCTGTCACTCCTTGAACGTTAACCCCAATGCAAAACCTGTAAAGCAGAAGCAGCGACGGTTTACCCCCGAGCGCAACTGAATTATTGCCGAGGAAGTTGATAAGCTGCTTGATGCGGGGTTCGTAAGAGAAGTGTACTACCCCGACTGGCTATCGAATGTGGTCGTTGTGCAAAAGAAAAACGGGAAATGGCGCGTACGCATTGATTTTTCCAATTTAAACAAAACTTGTCCGAAGGATAGCTTCCCGCTGCTAAAGATTGATCAGATGGTGGATGCAACTACTGGATATGAACGTTTGAACTTTTTAGATGCTTATTCGGGTTATAATCAGATCCCCATAGACCCCGCTGATGAAGAAAAAACTTCTTTCGTTACTGAACGCGGGACGTATTGCTACAAAGTTATGCCGTTCGGACTGAAGAACGCCGGGGTAACTTACCAAAGACTTATCAGCAAGATTTTTAAGGAACAAATAGGGAAGACAATGGAGGCTTACATTGATGATATGGTGGTCAAAAGTAAGAAGAAAGCTGATCATGTGTAGCATCTTCGAGACGTGTTTGATGTTTTGCGGCGATATGGAATGAAGCTCAATCCAACCAAGTGCTCGTTCGGTATAAGTTCAGGCCAATTCCTAAGGCACGTGGTTAATCTCAGAGGCATCGAGGCAAGCCCTGCCCAAGCAGATGCTCTGACTAAGAATACCGAGCCGACGACAATCAAAGAAGTGCAAACACTTACGGGACGGATTGCTGCACTGAGCCGTTTCATTTCCAAATTGTCAGATCGATGCAAACCATTCTTTGACACAATCCGGAGCCACAGCAGGCAGGTTTGGGGAGATGAACAACGCCTAGCGTTAACTGCTCTGAAAAAATATATGCAGAACCTTCCGGCACTGTCAGCTCCAGAATCAGGCGAAAAGCTATTTTTGTATCTCGGAGTGTCCAGCATCGCGACAAGTGGCGTTCTGGTCCACTACGCAGAAGGGAAGCAATATCCAGTGTTCTATGTTAGCAAGACAATGACTGAGGCCGAAAGACGGTATTCAAAGGTAGAGCGGGTGATACTCTCGCTAGTGCATGCGAAAAGAAAGCTCAGGCATTATTTTGAATCCCATCCTATTATCGTTCTAACCACTTTCCCTATCAGAATAATCCTGCACAAACCGGATCTCTCCGGAAGAATGACGAAGTGGGCTATAGAGTTAAGCTCATTTGATATCACATACGAACCTAGAACAACAGTCAAAGGGCAGGCGGTGGCAGATTTTTTACTAGAATGTGATTCAGAGGACGTGGAAGAGGATCTTTGTAAGTGCTTATGGAAACTCTTCGTTGATGGATCCTCAAATCAGATGGGTGCAGGCATTGGGATCAAACTGCAGACGCCAGAAGGTACAGCCTTAAGTCAAGCGCTTCAGCTTGAATTCGCAGCCATGAACAATGAGGCAGAGTATGAAGCGTTGCTGGCAGGAATAAAGCTTGCCAAAGAACTTAAGGTCAGGAATTTGAATGTTTTCAGTGACTAACAGTTAGTCGTTCGGCAAGTGAGGGGTGAGTATGAAACCAAGGATGAAACGATGGAAGCATATCATTCTGCTGTTATGCGGGAGGCAAAGAACTTTGAAAAAATTGAATTCATTCAAATTCCAAGGGAGTATAACGAAGATGCCGACAGGTTAGCATATAGCACCTCGGGTTCTAGAGAAACATTGGCAAGGGTGGTTCTAGTGGGAATATTAAACCAGCCATCCATTTTTGAAGAACCTTCAGGCTCGGATCCTTAGCAAGTGAATTTTATTCCATATGAGCCAAGTTGGATTGATCCGATCATAACTTACATCCGAGATGGTACTCTGCCTGAACAAAGAAATGAGGCTAGGAAAATCAAAGCGAATGCTGCAAAGTACGCCGTAGTGCATAACTAGTTATATAGAAGATCTTTTTCCGGACCGTACTTAAAGTGTGTTACCCCCGCAGAGGCTCGGCAAATATTACGAGCTATTCATGAAGGTGTATGTGGAAACCACTCAGGGGGGAGATCATTAGCACACAAAGCAATGGCTCAAGGGTACTTCTGGCCAAACATGTCGCGAGATTCGGAAGAATTGTCCAGAAGGTGCGATAAGTGCCAAAGGTTCGGACCACTGATTCACCAACCGCCTGAAGACTTGCATGTAATGGCCACACCATGGCCTTTCGCACAATGGGGGATGGATGTAGTTGGTCATCTACCAACTGCCAGAACCAGAACAAGTATATGTTACTGGCTACAGACTACTTTACTAAGTGGGTGGAAGCAGAGCCGTACTCGAGCGTTACTCAAACTCATGTGAGACGATTCATTTGGAGTAATATTATTTGCCGGTTTGGTGTTCCGAGGTCAATCGTCATGGATAATGGTACCAACCTTGACAGTAAGCAAGTAAGAGAGCTGTTGGAGGAATATGGAATTAATCAAAAGCTGGCAGCAGTAAGTCACCCACAGGCCAATGGACAAGCGAAAATTACAAACAGAACAATCTTTACTTGTATCAAGAAGAAACTAGAAGAAATGAAAGGAAGGTGGTTAGATGAACTGCCGAACGTCCTATGGGCCTACAGAACAACCCCTAGAAGACCGACCGGAGAAAGCCTATTCACCATGGCGTATGGAACCGAGGCAGTTATACCAATCGAGCACTTAGTTCCAACTGTTCGAAGCTTGGCATGGAACCGTGAGCATAATGACAATATGCTAAGGTTTAACCTCGATTTGCTGGAAGAAAAAAGAGACGCAGCAGCGGTAAGGCTCGCCTCTTACCAGCAGACGCTTGCGAACAGCCATAACAGGAAAGCAGAGACTTTAGGCCAGGTGACCTGGTTCTGAAAAAGAAGGTGGGGATAGTCAAAAAGATTATGCCACCATGGGAAGGCCCATACAGAATTGCAGAGGCCATAGGAAAAAGCGCATATACCTTAGAAACCATGGCCGGAAGGCTGGTTAACAAGCCTTGGAATGCTACTTCTCTGAAGAGGTATTATCAATAAAAAGTTGAGATTCAGTACTGAATTTTGTTTATTTTAAATTGAAAACAGTTGAATGTATAAGTTTCTGAGATTTATAAAGATTGCACTCCTCTTTAAAGTCTTAAGCAAATAAGTGGCAGCTGGCACTATGAGCCGAACGCCAAACACTTGCTAAGAAAAATAGAGGGCCAAGTGGCAAGAGGCATTCCAGCCGAGTGCCAGGCACCTAAGCTAAGTAAGTGGCAGCTGGCACTATGAGCCGAACGCCAAACACTTGTTAAGAAAAATAAAGGGCCAAGTGGCAAGTGGCATTCTAGCTGAAACGCCAACTGCCTAAGCTAAGTAAGTGGCAGCTGGCACTATGAGCCGAACGCCAAACACTTGCTAAGAAAAATAAAGGGCCAAGTGGCAAGTGGCATTCTAGACGCCAGGTGCCTAAGCTAAGTAAGTGGCAGCTGACACTATGAGCCGAACACCAAACACTTGCTAAGAAAAATAAAGGGCCAAGTGGCAAGTGGCATTCTAGACGCCAGGTGCCTAAGCTAAGTAAGTGGCAGCTGACACTATGAGCCGAACACCAAACACTTGCTAAGAAAAATAAAGGGCAAAGTGGCAAGTGGCATTCTAGCCGAACGCTAGGCGCCTGAGCAAAGTAAGTGGCAGCTGGCACTATGAGCCGAACGCCAAATACTTGCTAAGAAAAATAGAGGGCCAAGTGGCAAGAGGCATTCCAGCTGAATGCTAGGCACCTAAGCAAAGTAAGTGGCAGCTGGCACTATGAGCCGAACGCCAAACACTTGTTAAAGAAAATTAGAGGGCCAAGTGGCAAGTGGCATTCTAGCCGAACGCCAGGCGCCTGAGCAAAGTAAGTGGCAGTTGGCACAATGAGCCGAACGCCAAACACTTGCTCAAAAAAAAAAAAAAAAAAAAAAAAAAAAAAAAAAAAAAAAAAAAAAAGTCGACACAAAAAGTTTGATCAGAAGTCGACCATCTCATTAATAAGGTTCAGAGGGTTACAAAAAAGGAGGTGTAAAGATGGCAAATATACCAAAGTCAGTACATTTAAAAAAAAAAAAAAAAAAGTTCTAACTAAGAGGCATTTGCCTCGTCGGCCTCTTGATGATGTTGGGCTACCTCCTCATTGTTGGTGGTGTCACCATCCTCACGAGGTGGAGAGTCGAGGTGAATGACAGAATCGTTCTGTTGAGTCCTACCCTCAACAGCGTTGGAAGAATCATTCTGCTGAGGGTTATCTTCAGCAGTAACGGCAGATGGAGTCAAAGTGGACAGAGGAAGAATGTCCAAAGTCAGAGCGGCAGGAGGAGTAAGAGTGATCCGAGAAGACGCAATCTCCTGACATTCATCAAATATGCCCTCGGCAGCGGTGGAGTCAAGATCGGTATAAATACCAGGAGGGTCGATATCCAGGTCCTTATCAACATCATCAGGGGTAGAGCCAGTCTGACCCTCATCTGGGACGCGATCTGCGTAACCCTCTCGGAACCCCTGAGCATATCTGAGGGCTCCAACTCTAGAGAACCGAGCATGCAGAGCTAGCATGCCACCATTTACCCTGCTGATGGTATCAAGTAAAGTGTTGCGCTCGTCCAAGGCCCTTTTCTCAAAGGCCATCCGAGCGGATTGCTTAACATTCAGAAGGCATAGCAGTTCTTCCTTCTCGGCCCTAAGGGATTCCCGCTCGGTCTGCCAGACGCTCTTTTCAAGCTGCAGAGCATTCCTCTCATCCTGAAGAGAGTCAGTCTCCTTCCTCAGCGAATCCCTCTCTTTTCAGTTTTACCAAGTTGAACCATTAACCCGGTCTTCTGAGCAGCTAAATTATCGTTCTCCTTGTTCGCTGCACTAAGGCTATCAGAAAGCGCGCGGACCTTGGCATTCACATGCTCAACTTGCTTCTGCATAGCTATCATCCCGTACAAGGTCTGTAGAGATATACAGGATAACTGGTTAAGCCGAGCAGATGGTTAGAAGAAAATAAGTGTCAAGAGTATGTAAAGATTTATTGACTAAGGGGTAGAAGTTACCTCCATGGCGGACAAGGGGAATCGGCTGAACACCTCCCTCTGAGACAGAACTTTGGCTACCTCGATGTCCTTGGGAGTCCACATACTCCTGTAGTAAGCCATTGCGGTCTGACCATCTTTGAACATGGTCTCGGTCGGTTTCACAGACGATCCGTCTGTTCGAATGAAGCGAGGGCTCCATGGCGCCGTTCTTGAAGCGGAGGCATGCCCAGAAGGGGTGGGGGGCCTAGCTTGAGGAAGTCTCGCCAGGGATATCACGTTCGGCCCAGAGGGCCTAACTGTAATACCCCTAATTTTTAAAAGGATATAACTGGAATTTCTTTATTTATTTTATGTGCATTTTATTGATTTATTGATTAGTTGATTTATGTGCATTTAAATATGATTTATCTGGTTATGTGTTTAAGGGTTTTTTTTGCTTAATTGATAATTGTGTTTGTTTAAATTCATTGTAATTGTTTTTAATTTAATTATTGGTTAATTTAAAGTTTTGATTATTAGTGACTTAATTGACGTGTAGTTTTTGGTAGCTTATATAATTTAGGTGTGTTGTATTTATGTAATTGACGTGTAGTTTTGGGTAGCTTATATAATTTAGGTGTATTGTATTTATGGTTTAGATTTAGGGTTTTATTTTCGTGTAGTCACCGACTTAAATTAGGTTTTACGTAAATCTTATAAATATACGGTTATATAATTTGACTTAAGGTTGGGACGTGTATATATATAAATCTTATACGTCTGCTAGGGGGAGGAAATTAAAACTCAATTCACGTAAGGGTTTATGAGAGGAAAAACAGAGAGGTTTCTTGAGAAGGAAAAACAGAGGGAAATTGAGAGAATCAATTAGGATTGCAGCCATGGATTTAAGGTGGGATCAAGGAAGAAAGAGTCGATGGCTTGTGGAATAAAACTGGAACAGTGGGAGAGTTGCAGGTAGTCTACAGTTCGTTGCAGAATTTAGCAACGGCGATGAAGGTTTCAAACCGGAATCTTAAGGCAAGTTTCATTCTCTCCTTCCTGTAAACTTGTGTTCTGTGCATTCTAAGTAGACTCCAGGAATTTAATTAAAACTTTTAAAACAAATTTTATGCATATTAGTTTAATCTGAAATTTGGTTAACCGTATAATAACTGAAGATGGCTTTTCTTGCATAAATTGTTAGATTATGTGTTAAACCTCTGTAAATTAATTCATAATGCAATGTGAGGTGTTGTTAGGATGGTTAGGAAGTTAGTTAACCTTTATAATGGAATTTTGACACATGTGATCAGACTTTAGATTGTTCATACGTTCAGCTAACTGTGATTGGCGTTTTTGGATATGGTTTTGTTTTTGTTTTAGATTTTTGTCAATTAATGCATGCTGGATGGTGAGAAGTTTCTAGGGCTTTAAGAATTTAAATTGAACCCTAGGAATGTTAAAATACTTGGGACAGGAACGTCGGACTTCGCCGGAAACGCAGAAAAATCATCGGACGAAGTAGAGACGAGGCAGAGGGGCTCTCAGGGGTGAGAGCCGGCTCCTAAATGGTGGGAGCCAGCTCCCATGAAGAGAGAGTCGGCTCTCCATGAGGGAGAGCCGGCTCTAGAAGCCTAGGAGCCGGCACCAATAAAGGGGAGCCGGCTCCCATGGAAAAAAACCCCTACGGGGTGTTTTCTGCAATTTTTTCGGAGTTCTGGGGTTAAACGCAAATACTAAAAATTAAAGGGGGTTTCAAATATGTTAAAATTAACCTATTAAGACCCTTAAATAGTTGGTTTATGCTAGGGTGCTAATCTTAAGGGGCATCAGGAAACAGAAACGTGGAATAGACATGCTGTCAAGGAAGGATGAATGTTTAAGTTAATAAGTTTGTTTTAATAACTTAAACTGACTGGTATCGAATTACTTTTGGGATATTATATAAATTATTTATATACTTTAATGGAGGCCAGAAAGTTCGGTGTAGGATACGGGCATAGACAGTATTGACTTAAATATTAAATGGTATGCTGTCAGGAGTGGTAGGAATTTTAGTTGCTAGTTTTGGCTTAGCGAACTAAATGGACTAGTATGGGAATACTGTTGGGGTTTCATATAATGAGCAGTTTGGAATTCAAAGTGTCATATTATATCAGGCACAGGTTTTGGAGTGGAGGATCAAAGGGACGTCATGTGGTGTAAATGCTAACTTTCATGCTGTTAAGGATTTATGGAGGATTTCATTACTTGTTTTTGTTTTGGCAATTTAAATAATATGGTATGAGAGGATGGTTTGGGATATCTAGTATAATGTATTTAGTTCATATTTCTGGCTGATCATTATAACAGGTTATGGATGTTAATTGATGAACTGTTTAACTTCTGTTTTATCAATTGTATGGATGTGGATAATATAAATTGTTTATCAATACTTTAACAATTTATTTGGAGGATTAATGATTATAATCATATACTGGATGCATAATAGGATCTTAATAATATCTGTTTTCTATTATGCTGGTTTCTGGATTTATTTGATGTTCTAATGAATGTGCATCGTTTATGGATCATTTGCATTATATGTACCGGTATGGGACGGTGACATATCAGGGATGGATTAGATCAAAAAGCTAAGTCCTACCCCTTCTTACATACGGAATGGATTAACTAAAATAGTTAACTCCTACATGGATACATGTCCTGTCAACTAAAACAGTTGAACGACATAATGGATGCTTGTTTTATCTTTCGGCATTAGGAAGGAATTTATATATATATTTATGGTACTGTGATACGAGCTTGAGTCTCCTGATCACGGTTAGGGTGCGTATATTGCAAAGGTTGAGTAGCTAGATATAGCTAATGTTCCCTGGTAGGTCTAGGTACTTGGCCGCTGAAAAGCGTGTTTTATATGTCACCTTCTACCCAGGCTGAACTATGTTATAGGCTAGTGAGCATCCTATAGTGTGTATATATATATCTATGGACTATTGTAGATATTGCCGAGCTATCTAGGATGTACCTGCGTATCGGGTTTATGTACGGATTGTAGTAGGATGGAACTTGCATGTAGGCCTGACCTACCTTTATTTTTCAGGTGTTCGTGAGTACCAGGCTTAGGGTTTAATCGTGGTGATGCAGATACAGTCACTCACTCTTCCGACTACATAGGATTTTCTTTCTTATTTTGGTTTTGGATTTTAATTCTGTAAATGTTTTACCAGTTGGAAATATTAGGGGTCCACTAGATGGATTCCCGAGTTGTACGGATTGGAAAGTTTATTTGTATTAAAACTTTTATTTTGGAGGTTTTACAATTAGAATTCTTTTCAGCGTATCATTATTTTATTATTAATTCAGTTTTATTCTTGCTTGTTTATATATTGATTGTCTGGTATCCCTCGGATCTGTGTCCGGACTTGATCACCCGTGGCTCTAGAATCGAGGGGTATCACACTAACCCTCTGAGACAAGGGAACTTCATCTGTGCTGAGGGCACTGTCAGGTTGATGCCTTTTTCCTCTGGCCTTTTCCCGTGCAGAAGCAGTAGTAGAACCAGGAGGATTGTTGACAGAGGGGGTGACGTTCGGACTGGCAGTCGCCGTGCTAGCGACCGGGTCAGCAGCCGTCAAGGATGGATCGGTGGAAGGAGTGGTATCAGAAAGGGTAGCGGAGGAAGATGCTAAAGCCGGTGAGGAATTTGATGTAGGGGTGATAGCAGGCCTGGGGGCAGTTTTCTTCCTGCCGAAGGAGGGGATCTGGAGTTGGCTCATTGTCTTGCCGAGGACTGAGATATCGAGGAGATTATCTGAGGTGAGAAGGTCCGAGCAAGAGGGAACGTTGGTCAGAACGTACCGCTTCAAGTAGTTATCCCTATCCCTGCACACACTGTAGCTCAAGTCATCACAAGGAATGCCTAAGGAATGGCACAAGAAAGTACAAAAACGAGGAATGCAAATCTCGCAAGGACAGTCGCTCTTATGGTTTTTATATTTCTTGTAAAAAGAGACGAGCACTCTCCAAAAGCGCTCGAGATAGAGAAATCCTCCGCAGCTGGAGAGAACCAGGCTCCCCTAACCCCAATAATGTTTTTCCTCCAACCCTTCTCGGATTTGATCTTATTCGTGCAAATGGACCTCTTCTCAATGGGGAAAAAGTGGTAAAACGGTTCGTCAGTTCTGATCTTGCTGACCTTGTAACAGAGGAGAAGATCTACGAGGTCCAGATCCAGACCTCTGTCACGAATCAGGAGTAGCATAATAGATAAAATCCTAAGGAAATTGGGGTTTACTTGTAAAGGGGAAAGATTTAGCTTGTTAAAAACATTGCAAAAGAAAGGATGTAAAGGAAATCTAAGGAGATTGAGATGGAGGAGTGAAAACAGGGCCTCGCCGGGAAGAAGGCCAGCACCGATTCTAATATTCACTTCTCGGGGGCAGTTTCTAATTTCTACATCGTCAAGAAGGTGAAGTTTCATGCGAATAACGTCTAGATCTACTGTCATGGTGAGAGTGGATGAGGATTCCAGGGAGGAGAAAGAAGTCTTCCAAATGAAAAATGCAAATGAAACTAACCTTAGAGAGTGCAAATGGCAGAAAGTATTGCAAAGCCACTGGAAGGAAGATCTTTTGCAAGAGATCGCCGGAGAGGATTCAAACAGCAAAAGGTGAGATGGAGACGATAAAGAGGATCGATGGAGAATCAATGGAGCTTATAAAGACGAGAAGAGCCCAAGGGCCGAAGAGTCAGGAAAGCGATGGGTTGTCTTTTTGAATCTCGAAGCGCCGACCCCTGGATCTAACCGTCCATTCTCCCACACGATCTCCTCGAGCCATCAAGTCATCATTAGCAGCCACTAATAATTACCCCCTAATCAATAAGAGGTAATTATGGGGGCAGTTGAGGATGCGGCAAGTGGCATGGGCCGGATATGGTTCGCGAGAGTGAGATCGGGTCGAATGATTGAAGTAGGATCCATGACAAAGCGCCCTGGAATAGGCCGAACCTGAGGTATCCACCGAGGAAGTTCAAGCCCATTGGAAGACCAAGCCCAGAAGGAAGAGAGCTTCGAATATAGGCCCAGTGTAATTGGTTAGCAGCAATAAGGGTGATGGCCTATAAATAGACCATGACAAGTAGAAAGTTAGGACAGAATACTAGAGGGAGAGAGAGAGAGAGAAGAAACGAAATCTTGTATCGTCAGTTTGGGAATTATATTTTGCTGTGAAAATGGGGAAACAAGAACATGCAAAACATGTTTGGTCACACAAATATATATATATATATATATACATAATTTTTGCAACAAATTATTTACGAGTTCGCAGTTGCAGAGAGAAGGGGGGCAAGCTTGAGAGTTGAGAGACAGCGGGCCAAAGGCTGAAGCTTGCGAACGCGAACCCGAACTAAAACAGCAGGCGATGGAAACTGAAAGATATGGGTTTTGATTTTTTGAACAATCTGAAATGATATGCCGATATGGGTTCTGATATAGGTAATTGGTTTTGATTATATAAGTAATAGGTTTTGCTTATTGCAAACAGATACATAAACTGAAATATATGGGCTTTGAACTTCTGATTCTTGTAGATTTTGCAGTTTGCAATTGCCAGAGAGAGAGGGGAAGTTCAGATCTAAGAACGAGAATAGAGATGGAGGCATTATTTATAGGTAATAATAGGTTTTGATTCTTGCAGACAAATAGATAAACTGACATAAATGGGTTTTGAACTTCAGATTCTTGTAGATTTTGTAATTTGTAGTTGCAGAGACAGAGAGAGATGGAGTTCAGAGTAGAGAACGAGAATAGAGATGGAGGCGATTGGAAATGATTTGCGAGTCGCCCAAAATCGCCAAGTGAAGCTGCGCCAAAGAAATTCCTAGAAAATGACATTTTGCCTTTTATACGTGTTGTGTTATACTTGCTAAAGTTTAATGAGAGAATTGTTTCCTCCGCTACAGTAATTTGTAGCCCAAATAGTATGAAACATGAAAAAACACCAAAACGGTATTTTAATTTTTGAGCCTATTTTTGAAATTGTTTTGCAATTATTTAAAACACAAGCAAACTCAAACATGTTTTGGGTTTGAAAGAGACTACTATAGCAGGCCTAAAACAAAACAAAACAAATGCCAAATAGACCTTAAGTGTCATATTTTAAAATTTGGGACGTCCAAATTGTGTATAGTGGTGTTGTGAGTTTGCATTTTCAAAATATTTAAATCACAATTTTTAAAATATAACACTTATTATGAGACGAATGAAGTAATAAATTTAAAGATTGACGTGATTTGATTTATAACTAAAACAGAAAGGAAAATCAATCAAAAACGATCATCTGAGTTGAATTGATTCCCATTTTTTGTTTTTCTGAACGGTGATTTAAAGTGACCTCTCTTTCTCCGTACAATTAAAAAGTTGAATATTTGAGCTTTCGGTACTCTCACCATTGTTGGATTGAGATGTGAAAATTATTAATCCAATAATTGATGATACAAACTTAGGAAGAACGTAGAGGAAATTGAGAATTACCTTGTGGAAGGATTGTAAACGGAAGTGAGCTTATGAGAAACACCAAGAGCATCAAGTGCAAGCCATGCATTTGGGAAGAGGCCGAGCGCCGCACCGGTGGCTCTGAGCCCTTCCGATCTCTCTAACACCAAAGCTCGCACCCCCACTCTCTTCAGAGCCACCGCTGTGGCCAACCCTGCTATCCCCGCCCCAACAATCACCACA